GCTGCATGACATCATCGTTACTCCTATTGCTGATCTGATCGAAGGCAACGAGCTGACATTCGTTCCTGAGGGGCCATTTTGTCTTGTACCTTATGCAGCATTGGAGAACTCGAACTCATCATATCTGAGTGATTCTTTCAGAATTCGTGTGCTTCCCTCTCTGACGACGTTGCAACTAATTCATGATTGTCCAGCTGACTTTCACATGAAGACTGGTGCATTGCTTGTCGGCGACCCATGTTTCAAACATATCATCTATCAGGAAAATCTTTTGGTGCAACTTCCAGGAGCAAGGAAAGAGGTGGAGATGATCGGACGTATCCTTAATGCTTCCCCCCTCACTGGAGAAGTGGCAACAAAACATGAAGTGTTAAAACGAATATCATCAGTGGCGTTAGTTCATATTGCAGCGCATGGTAAAATGGAAACTGGAGAAGTTATCTTGGCACCAAACCCCACAAGAGAAAACCCTCAGCCACAAGAGGAAGACTATGTTCTGACGATGAAAGATGTGATTGAAGCTGGGTTGCGAGCACGTCTGGTTGTACTTAGCTGCTGTCACACTGCTCGTGGGGAGGTCATGGCCGAGGGTGTGGTCGGCATGGCGCGTGCCCTTTTGGCTGCCGGTGCCAGATCTGCTGTGGTAACCTTGTGGGCGATTGGCGACGAGGGAACCCTGGAGTTCATGAGTTTCTTCTACGATGCACTTTCCAAAGGCAAGAAGGCAAGTGAAGCTCTCAATCAGGCCATGAAGTGTATGAAAGAAATTGAAAAGTTCAAGGAGGTGATGCACTGGGCACCATTTGTACTCATTGGTGACGACGTCAACCTGGATTTCAATAATATTTAGAAGCTGAAGCAAGTAAATATTCTGTTCATACATTCTATTCAATACAAAGTTACATTAAATCATAATTATTGCCTATATGTGAGCACTGATACTCGTGTGTTATTTTCCTTTCAGTTGGGTTACGAATTTATTTTTCGCTCCGGCAAATTGAGATGCAGTACAATCAAGTGGACACGTTTACGATGATAACATTCTTTTTAGGAAAATTAGGAGTAAAAAAGCAAGTTTCTTTTAAAACAATCCTTTTGTGCAATGTATCGTTTCATGTGCGAGGAAATATTTCATGGCAACTCAACCATTCCGGCCCCCTAAACTTAGATTCTTTTATTTTTCAGTTCAGGCAGTTATAGCATTGGAATCCCATGGAGTTTTCGGAATCCAACAAAACGCTGATATTTGGACCAGAAACCAGTAAGCTACTGATGAAATCTATGTCAAGAGTCTTATTTTCAAAGCAGGAAGAACCAAAAGACGGCGAAAGTCAAGTTTAACAAGAGAACGGATTTCCTTTGATTCAAAAGTTGACTTTTTGCTTGTTTGAACTGCTTTTACGAGCTTCATTTTTGATATCCTTCTCAAACTGCTGTTTTCTTTCTTTCTTTTTTTTATGTGATGTCTTGAAATTATCACGATTAGCTATGTAAAAAGTTATTTTTAATCTAAGTATTACCTACTACGAGGATTAAGGCGTTACGTTTACGTCGAAGTTGAAACGTCTTGAAAACGTTTTCCACAGTTTTTTTTTACAGATTTTTCTTAATCGGTTTTTGTCTCATGAGTGATGTAAAGCTGTTACAGCCATGTGCATGTGTGGAGAATTTCCATGGAAATTGGAGAATAATCAGTTGTCCGATTGCTCAACTATCTTAGTTTATGTGAGATGAAAATTGTGATCAACTTTTCGAGGATTTGTACCCAGTCATTGGAACTTAAAGTTAGTTTCTGCCGATCATAATTTGGTTTATCTGAACTTAAAATGACAGATTTTTGCCGTAATGGCCAGGATTTAGTCTTGGTATTAGTTAATTTTCTGAGATTTCTCCATAAATTTTGAATGCGATATTTTGTGCTATTTTTTACAAGCAGAACGATGCATTTTAAGTATATTGTTTAAACTAAGAGCTAGTCTAAAGGCAAAACGAGAAGTTTTATTTTAATGTTAGTTACTGGCCTACAAAGCAACAAAAGAAGCTCAGAACGAGCTAGAAAGTTGGAGCCAAATGATTTTATTTAGTTTCTCCGATTAGATTGTTTACTTATTATCTAAGTACAATAAACTAACATTTGAATGTCAAATAATGAAACAAATCGCTTGGCATTTTGTTAGGATAGAAGAAGAAATCAATAACAAAGGGAAAAAATTTCTGCATCAAACTGCATAAGCCATTTCTTGTCGTTTGAAGTAATGAGTGCGCCTATGTCTTATTCGCTTAATAACTTTTGCCCATTTCTTTCAATAAATTTATTGAATGAGAGATAAACTTCGATATTTTCTGACTCTATAACTGTTAATATCGATCACTGACTGCCGTTTCTTAGGATGTCACGCGTCAGACATTCTTTAGCACGTTATGCGACAGATGTGATGATTTGTCACATCTTGTCGTTTGAAGAAGTGAGCGCACCTATGTCTAATTAGCTCAACTTTTGCCCATTTCCTTGGATAGAGTTATTAAATAAGATACAAACCTCGATTTTTTTTCAGATTTTGCTAGTTTTATTGGCAGCCGTTCCTCAGGATGTCACGCGACGCGATTCTATGTTTTGTCATATATCTTTGAAGAGGCAAGAAAAAAGAAATTACCTTTCAATTTGGGAGATGGTGCTTTACTCCATTTATAGAAAGAGTCCTCCTTATGGGAGGTACCCAAGGTCGGTGTGGTTCCACGAGTGTAGAAAATATTGATGAGTTTTTTTTCCACGATTGCAAACTTAACTAAAACAGCTTAACTTACTTAAAACTGAAGAGGGCCGACCGAGGAGAACTTTTTACGGCTAACAGTTAAAATTTTGGCCATTTTTATGCTGCAGTTAACTCAGAATAGCGCAAAATAACACTTTGTAAGAAGGAAAGATTTTTAAGGATAATTTTTGCTACAACTAAGGGTTGAAATTTCAAGTATCAATTCTTACGTCCAACAGCTAGTTTTATGACCGATTTACGGCTAACTGTTAACCCTATGAGGACCCTCGACTGGGTGACATGCAAGATGCGAAATAATAATGGTTTAAGAGGGTGGCATTTTCAACTCGAATTCAGAATTAGACCTTCTAGGTAAAAACAAGCCGTGGAAAAATCCTGGAGGCAAGGATTAATCTGGAAGAGCCGAAAATTAACTTATCAAACGTAAATTCAGAAACTCATATATTTTCTTTGTATCACTCTTGTATTTAATGTCTCGTAGATATTATTCAGTACCTGACATATACATATAAATATATATATATATATATATATATATATATATACACACATATACGCATTTTAAGTTCATCCGAACATATTAATGACACTGCAGATAACACCAACACAAAAGATGCACCGACAGAAGAATACATGCCCACTTAACGGAAACTGCCTCCAATCATCTCTAATCTACCATGCCACCGTCACACGTAAGGACAACGGCACCATTGAAACATACATCGGACTTACAGAAAACGACCTCAAGACTAGATACAGAAACCACACCGCATCATTCCGACACACAAAACACAGAAACTCTACCGAACTCAGCAAACATATCTGGACTCTTAAAGAAAATAACTTTAACCACTTTATTTCATGGCGCATCCTTTCATCAAGATCACCCTACAACAGCGCAAACAAAAGATGCAACTTCTGCCTCAAAGAAAAATTGCTCATCATCCGCCGACCCGAATTATCATCACTCAATAAACGTAATGAACTCGTGTCCTCACCACAGAAACAAAGCGTTCCTGCGTAACAATTGAACTAAGCATCGAAATTAACAGACACGCCTACTATGCAAATTTGTAAAGTATGTAAACGATGGTACGAATATACTTAACAAAATCCCCTGATAAGAGAGCAATCACAAACAGGCTTGGTATAAAAGTATAGTCTCTCTGTTTTTTCCCCCCAGCGCAACACACACACGCACACACCCACGCATGTGCGTGCGTGTGTGTGTGTTGTAAAGTATTTTACAAGGAAGCCATTTCAGTGCAAGTCTCGAACTGTGAGGTGGCTTGACCGCGCGTTGTTTTCCTTTGAGAGAAAATAAAGATATGTTTATCTTTGAGTTCTGTTCGCTTAGGAATCTCGTTATGTATATAATAAATAAGTCATTATTCACTCGTTGTGAATAAAAATCGTACGCGCTCATCAACCGTGAAATAACCAATAAATATACTCTCGACAATGCAAATTCAGGCAGCATACAGGACTCTAGTCACATAGTAACCCAGTTCATGGTCATAGTAAACTCGCAAATACCGTCATCCATTTAGTAAAAAATCCGACCCTTATAATCGAAACTGGTCAAGTACTACGAGCGTAGGACAATGAAAAAATTTGGGGCAGAGTTCTCATGAGGAATCGAACCTCAGACCTTCGGATTTATATAAGTTGATGTCGCGCGATCTCACGAACGGGCGGCCGACGTCTTTTTTTTTTTTTTTCCTTTTTTTTCTGCTGATATGTTTCGGCCCGTGCGACAGATTAAGTGGAAACAATCAAAAGTCTCTGTAATTGCTCTGTTCAGTCAACAATATGGAGAATAGGAGGCCCACACCTGCTTTCCACTCTTCAGTCTTTTAAAAAAAACTGCTTGACTTTGAACAGCCAATTACCTATGTTACACAAGAAAGAGGGTGGCAAGGGGTTTTAGACTGACGCACGATCAAGGCCAAAATGCATGTGAAGCGTCAATTTTACAGAAAGGCAAGCGTGTTTCCTCCCCGCCAAATACATGATTGACGAGTGTCTTCTTTCTTTTCTTGAAAACCTAAAGATTTCCTTGAAACCTTGCCCACAAGTGGAAAGATTTGAAGTTTAGTCTCCTTATTAGTTCGTGACGCGTAAAATGCTGTTTAAAGTACTCTCGACGCGAGACTTTTGCAGAAAGTTGTGCGTGAAATAGGATCAGGACCTTTGATTCCCTTAAGGAAGGCGGAGAAGACACATGTACTCTGGTGCAGCAATGACTTTCCGACAGAGATCGTTGAACAAGATGCGGTCACTTGAGAATCCCTATCGTCTTAAAGAAAAGATTCTTTCGTTTAATTTTTTGGCGTCGCGTAAAATCAACTGAACCCGGCCCTCTCACGTTTTCCTTCTTCACAAGGCCTATTCCACTTTCATCATATCTCGCAGATTTCCCATGAATCCTTACGTTTTTTCCTGGTTTACGGCCGGACCTCTTAAGCTTGCGCAATGTAGGTCATGTGATAATACAGTTGAGAATTGTTTCTCTCAAATTTCGTCGTCTCACGTGCAGAGGTAAGCATTTTTTTACCGAAGACAAGGGATGGAATTCCCCAGAGGTTTCCATTGGGAAATTAAAACTAACCGCTAAAGAGCTCTACTAGCAAGTAGCCCACTTACCCCTTCCCTAACCCAGTTAGGGGAGGGGTAGGTGGGCAGTTGCCCAGATACTGATATTGATCCCAAAAAGCTTCTAGGGTTGTTTGTGTTTATTCATGAAAGCAGAAGATATGAATAACTTTTATTAACCATGAAAAAAAGTTGCACGTTGAAATTATTCGAGAATGGAGCTTTCAGTAACAACGCTGTGTTTGGTGACTAACCCACGTCACTGAAAGGTTCAAAATCTCAATTGTAATTGGACTGTTTACTTCATACCTGTCTTCGTTTATTAGTTTTTCCGATTTTTCTAGGTATTCTTGTGCAATCACTATTATTACCGTTCGCTTGGTCAGCATGCATTCAGTTCATGTTAGACAAACCATTGTAAACTATTTAACTTTAGTTCTTGCTGCTACTGTACATGTTACGAAGATGGATTGATCACCCATTAACGCTCGTTCGGCGAACTCCTACTTTGCCTGATTCTGCTTTCCACTCGACTTTTCCACCACACTTCTCGCTCACGTTTTTCATTTGTTTTTGTTCTTATCATAAACGGAGCGTTTAAGCAAACCACTTTTATTTACAAAACGCGGAGCAGCATGAAGGTTTTTGGAAGTACATCGAATTAATTGATTTGTTTTTGGTTCTGTTTACTTATTTGTTGAAATACGAGAACACAAAAATTCATAAAAAGCTTTACCAAGCATCGCGTGAACAAGAAAAGACCCATACGCCTTGCGAAAGATCACTTTCGGTAAAGGCCCATATGGCGGAAAAACTCTCATTTTAGCCCGAGTTCTCGCGCATTACTGAAACCAACGCTTAAGTTCTGTAGTTGATTTATCGTTGTCTATTCCAAATAATTTGTTCTTACACTTGGACAAAATTTCAGAAAACTATGTTTTGTTCGGGTGCTCTCTCTTTTTTATTAAAGGTCCTTTCCTTTCCCTATTTGGACAACAGAAGATTTAAGCAACACTGAACTACATGTCTTGCTCACCCAAGGAAGATTTATCCATTTAGCTTCGGTAGATTACTGAAACCAACGCGTGCGTTTTAAGGATGATTCATTATTATCCATTCCAAACAGTTTGTTCTTGTACTTAGACACCATCTGAGAGAACTTCGACTCGTCGTTCTGCTCCTGTTGTCGTTTCCGGGCGCCTTTCCTCTTTCTATTTGGGGCATCGGAGGTTTTGCTCACTTTAAATTCACTGTCTTGTCTTTCTTTTGAAGCTCTATTTACCATTTTAAGGTAGGGACTAACATTTGGGGCGGTACCTGATGTGACTTTGGTACGAGAATTGTTTCTAAGAGCCAAAGAAGATTGTTTATTTCTTCCAACATTCTTTTTACCTCGCTTCGACTCAGATTGTGTAACGTCCATTCTGGACAAATTTTTAAATTTCTTTGCTTTCGATGAGGATAAGTTTGAACTGTTCACTGCCTTAATAACTTTGTTTCTTTCCTGCGCTATTTTGCCGCCTTCGCTGTCCTTGCCCTCTTCCAATTTTCGTTTCTTCCTCGCTTCTCTCTTTCTCACTCGTTTTTCTCTTCGCTTCTGATTTCGCTCCAGCCTTCTCTCCTTATTTGTCTTGGGTTGTTCATCGCGCGCATGCTCGTCGACGCTCTGCTGCTGCTTGTGCTGAGCCTTCTCTACATGACGCTGCTTCGCCTTGAGGACGAGGCTATTTTCTATCGAGAAATCCACAATTGGTCGACGATCCGGTCCAAATATGGCGGGATTGTTATTGGTGACTCTCAGGACGGCAAGAGCGTCTTTGTGATTGGTGAATTCTATGAATCCGTATCCCATGGAACGTCCACGGCCTGTGCTGTCTAACCTATCTTTACTCCGGATAATCAGCACTTTCTT